ATTTTTTCCCCCAGAGTGTCTAATGCGTTGGAGCTGAAGGAGCATCTAGATAAACCGGCAAAGAGTCTCTCTGCAGGACTGAAACGGAAGGTGAGAAGAGCTCTGATGATCAGATCCATGCTTGGTGTTAGAGCCGCTCCTGCAGCCCTGCTCCATGTGCTTCCAGCTGTGCTTCGCTCTGAGCATGATCGGAAACCCGCAGATTGTCCTGCTGGACGAGCCGTCGTCAGGAATGGATCCCAAGTCCAAGCAGCGGATGTGGTGAGCCTCAGACGTCCCTCTGCTCTGTGATGGCTCTGCTGGAGACCTTCTGCTAAACAACCTTTGGTTTGAAAACATGCATGAAGGACAGTGTGTCTCTGTGCAGGAGGGCCATGCGTGCTGCATTCAGGAACCACCAGCGAGGAGCTATCCTCACCACACACTACATGGAGGAGGCTGAGGCCGTGTGCGACCGCGTTGCCATCATGGTCTCCGGCCAGCTCAGGTTTTTTCTCCTTCGGGATTTTCCCACCAGATTCCAGAGGACTTCTGGCCTCCAGGTTCCTGCAGCTTAACTGTTTCTGTCCAATCAGATGCATCGGCACCATCCAGCATCTAAAGGCCAAATTCGGCCAGGGCTACAGTCTGGAGGTGAAGCTGAGGGAGGAGCTGACGGGACTCCAGCAGGAGGCGCTGCTGCACCAGGAGATCCTCCGAATCTTTCCGCACGCCGCCCGACAGGACAGGTAACTGTAGGACTGTGGTTCCCAACCTGTTTGGATCCGTGTTTCCCTTTAAGCATTTCGTCTTCATTTAATTCTTTACATCCCAAATAAAAAAACAACACAAAGATGTTGCCTCTGAACATCCAACCCCTGAACATCCAACCTCTGAACATCCAACCCCTGAACATCCAACCCCTGAACATCCAACCCCTGAACATCCAACCCCTGAACATCCAACCCCTGAACATCCAACCCAATGGATCATTTTGAGGGTTGGAGGGCACTTCCTGTTAGCTCTCATAACTACTGGGACACACTAACCTTACCGAGTGCGAAATCAGAGAAATGGAGTCAGATTATTTGTATGTCCTGTGAAGTTAAAATTGTGTTCAACTTCCATCTTTTCTTTTTAAGTAAGCAGTATATTTGTTAGTGTGTGTAAGATGACCTTGCAGAAACTTAGCAGAGTTTCTAAACAGGATAAACTTCTGTGCAGAAGCTGCAACCGTCAGTTTGAAATAGTTGCTGTTTAAACAGCAGAAAGAGCAATTAGTGGTAAAACAGTTACTATGAAACACTTTAACAGGTCGGTTCTGTGGAAACCTTTGTGTTGTGCAAAAGAGTTTCTGTTCATGTTTTGTAACGTCTTTTATGCGCGAAAGTGATCTGGGTGGGGTGGGGGGTTGGGATTGAGCCACCCCAGTTAGCAGACTGCAAGGAACCAACCTGCAAGTGGAGAATATCACAGTTACACAGAGGCTCTCAGTGAGCTCTGTGTCTCAGGCTCCAATTTCTAACACCTTTCAATGCCCCTTGCAATGCACCAGGGGACCACTAGGGGTACACGCACCCCCGGTTGGGAAACACTGTAAAGTTTCAGGACTGCATCCTGTTCTCAGAAAGTCCATTTATATTCGTTGCAGTTGGAGCCACATAACCCCACATTTCAGC